TGATATTATCATCTCATCCTCTTCATCCTCTCATCAAATGGAAACCTCTCATCTTTCGATCACCGCCCATAAACTGAATGGGCAAAATTATTTGCAATGGTCTCAATCCATGTTAATGTTTATACGGGGAAAGGAGAAAGATGACTACATCACCGGAGCCTCGGCGCTACCAGAAACCACAGCATCAACCTACAAAAGGTGGATAGCTGAAAATAATATGGTCATGTCGTGGCTCGTCCACTCTATGACCACTGACATTTGCGAAAATTTTCTGTCATTTGATACTGCCCAAGAGATCTGGGACATGGCAAAAGAAACGTTTTCAGACAAGGAAAACACATCTGAAATCATCCAGCTTGAAAGCTCCCTCCACAATTTACGTCAAGACAATCTTACGGTAACTGAATATTTCAATACCCTTACTCGTCTATGGCGTCAACTTGATACGTTTGAGGTTCATAACTGGCAGTGTGTTGCTGATGGTTTGTTGTATAAAAAGATTGTCGAAGGGAAGCGTGTGTTTAAATTCTTGTTAGGATTGAACACAAATCTTGATGAGATCAGAGGAAGAATTATGGGAGTAAAACCGCTCCCTAACCTTAGAGAGGCATTCTCTGAAGTCCGTCGCGAAGAAAGTCGGAAAAAACTCATGATGGGATCTCATCAACAACTGAATATGGCAGAAAGCTCGGCTCTTAAGACTCAATTCGCTCCTATCGACAACCGTCAGAAAAATAAAGGAGGTAGGCCTTGGTGTGATCATTGCAGAAAGCCGGGTCACTCGAGAGAAACTTGCTGGAAGATTCATGGAAAGCCAGTAGATTGGAAACCACGTCAGCCTCTTGAGAAAGAAGGACGAGGTAATCATGTAGGTACAAATGAACCATCACCACAACCTGAAGTAAGCCCTTTCACCAAGGAGCAAATGGAGATGCTCCAGAAACTACTACAGTCACAATCTGGTTCGTCTTCCAACCACATCATAGGATCCGGAACCTTGGCTCACAAAGGTAATTCTTTGAACGCCTTTACTGTTAGTAAGAAACGTAAAAAACCTTGGATTGTGGACTCAGGAGCATCTGATCATATGACGGGAGATGCAACGATTTTTGATACATATAACTCATGTCAAAATAATTTAACGGTCCGAATAGCAGATGGTTCACTATCAAAGGTTGCCGGTACAGGTTCAGTTGTGCTGTCTAGGAATCTTATTCTCAACTCTGTTCTCCTTGTTCCTGACTTGGACTGTAATTTATTGTCAATTAGTAAACTCACTAAGGAAAAGAGGTGTGTTACTAATTTTTTCTCCACTCATTGTGAATTTCAGGATTTGGATTCGGGGAAGATGATTGGCAATGCTGAGGAATGCTCTGGACTCTACATCCTTAAGGAACGCCACTATCCACAAGAACAACCTCAAACGGCAATTTGTGGTAGTTTTTTTTTCGGTTTCGTGTCAAAATAACGATAGAGCAATTATGTTGTGGCACTATCGCTTAGGTCATCCTAATGTTATGTATCTCAAGCATTTATTTCCTTCATTATTTAATAAAAATCCAAAACCTTTTGATTGTGAAATCTGTCAATTTTCTAAGCATGTACGGTCCCATTTTCCCATTCAATCCTATAAAGCGTCTCGTCCATTCTCACTAATTCATAGTGATATCTGGGGTCCATCCAGAATAAAAAATGTAACTGGTACTAGGTGGTTTGTCACATTCATAGATGATCACACTAGATTAACCTGGGTCTTCCTCATGAAAGACAAATCTGAAACGAGCCAAATCTTCAAAAATTTTCAAATTATGATTCAGACACAATTCCAGTCAAAAATCCAAATTCTAAAGTCTGATAACGCTCGGGACTATTTCAACTCAATTCTAGGAGATTTTTTAGCAGACAAAGGGATAGTTCACTTAAGTTCATGTGTTGACACCCCACAACAAAACGGCATCGCTGAACGGAAAAATCGGCATTTGTTAGATGTTGCTAGATCACTCATGTTTTCCACAAATGTTCCACAATTCTTCTGGGGGGAAGCTGTTCTTACAGCTGCCTATCTTATCAATAGGATGCCATCTAAGGTACTACAATTCCAAACTCCTTGTCAACTTCTCCTAAAATCCTTTCCCACTACTCGCCTCATCTCCACCATCCCACCCAAAATTTTCGGGTGTTCTGTCTTTGTTCATGTCCATCAACAGTATCGAGGTAAACTTGATCCCCGGTCGCTCAAGTGTGTCTTCATTGGGTATTCGTCACATCAGAAAGGGTATAAGTGTTACTCTCCGGTCACTAGGAAATTCTACACTTCCATGGATGTCACATTTTTTGAAACCCAGTCTTACTACCCTAAAATTGATATTCAGGGGGAGACTCCAACCCAGGAATATCAATTTTGGACCCCTGAGTCATTTAGTGAGCCATCCATCACCACCAAAAATCCCACACCTCCTGAGTCATTGAATCCATCTGTACCTGCCGAAAATTCCGAGTTCATTGTTGCCTTGCGGGATAATGAACACATCCAAGAGGAAATGGAGGAAGGAGCACTTTCTCAACAATCCCATGAGGCTGAACCGGGTTCTAATCCAAGCAACATTCCAGGTAACAATCTTCTTACCACAGATAGTACTGTTGATTCTGAGTTCGAAAACAGTATTCTTAATATGCCCATAGCTTGGAGAAAAGGAGTTAGATCATGTACTCAGCATCCCATTGGGAACTTTATTTCTTATGATAATCTATCACCTTCGTTCCGTGCCTTCACTTCTAGCATCACGGAGATACCCATTCCTCGGAATATTCAGGAAGCCTTCAAGTCTCCTCAGTGGAAGGCAGCAGTCATTGAGGAAGTTCGGGCTCTGGAAACGAATGGTACTTGGGAAATTACTGATCTTCCAAGAGGTAAGAAACCCGTTGGATGTAAATGGATTTTCACAGTAAAGCACAAGGCAGATGGTAATGTGGAACGTTATAAAGCTCGGTTGGTTGCCAAAGGATTCTCCCAATCCTATGGCATTGACTATCAAGAAACCTTTGCTCCGGTTGCCAAGCTCAACACTGTTCGTGTCCTTTTATCCTTGGCAGCTAATCTCGATTGGTCACTTCACCAACTTGATGTAAAAAATGCCTTCCTCAATGGTGACTTAGCGGAAGAAGTTTACATGGACATTCCGGCTGGACTTGAGACGACATCAAATTTCAACAAAGTTTGCAGACTCCGAAAATCCTTGTATGGTCTCAAACAATCTCCCAGGGCCTGGTTTGAACGGTTCACTAAGGCAGTAAAAGGGTACGGTTTTGTTCAATGTCAATCCGATCATACATTATTTGTGAAGCACTCCCTAGGAGGGAAATTGGCAATTATCATTGTTTATGTGGATGACATAATTCTAACAGGTGATCATGAAGAGGAAATTGGCTTACTTAAAACATTCCTAACAAAGGAATTTGAGATTAAAGATCTTGGAAATCTTAAGTACTTTCTTGGAATGGAAATTGCTAGGTCAAAGAAAGGTATAGTCGTCTCACAACGTAAATACGTTCTAGACTTACTGAATGAAACAGGGATGCTAGGATGCAAGCCGGCAGAAACTCCTATGGACACAACTATCAAATTGGAAGAAAGTGACGGTAGTGCACCAAGTGATAAAGGGAGATATCAACGTCTTGTGGGAAAACTCATTTATCTTTCTCATACAAGGCCAGACATCGGCTTCTCTGTTAGTGTGGTCAGTCAATTCATGAACAATCCTACCGACAAACACATGACTGCTGTGACCAGAATATTGAGGTACCTAAAAAAGGCACCGGGAAAGGGTCTCTTCTTCCAAAGAACAACAAATAGAAAAATTGAGATTTTTTCAGACGCAGATTGGGCAGGTTCAGTAACTGATCGGAGATCAACCTCTGGCTATTGTTCATTTGTTTGGGGGAACGCGGTTACATGGCGAAGCAAGAAACAGTCAGTGGTCGCCCGTAGTAGTGCTGAGGCAGAATTTCGTGCTATGGCCCTAGGTATCTGTGAGGGAATCTGGTTGAACAGACTGTTAGAAGAATTACGAGTTCCATCTGAGCATCCTATGGTTTTATACTGCGACAACCAAGCCGCCATCAGTATCGCTAAGAATCCTGTTCATCATGATCGCACTAAGCACGTGGAGATAGATCGACACTTTATCAAGGAAAAGATTGAAGAGGGAGTTTTTCAAGTCAGCTACACTCCAACAAACTGTCAAAAAGCTGACATTCTCACCAAAGCTCTTGCTCGAGTTAACTTCGAAGATCTGACGGACAAATTGGGCATGATTAACATCTACAACGTTGCTTGAGGGGGAGTGTTGAAAATCAAGCCACGTTTTCCTTTTCTTTATTTCATATGCTTTCGGTGATTATTTAATTCATATGCTTTATTTAATTCATATGCTTTCGGTAAATATATATATATATATATATATATATATTAATGTATATATGTGATGAGAGACAATTATGTGGCGGATTACCCTTTAATTTAAAGAAAAGGTTTTGATATTGAAACTCAGCATTATGTTGATTGTGTCAACTTTTTTAATTGTGACAATTTGGCAGTACAATCATTGAACTACACTTGGACTATTTCAGCTGAATAACATAATAAAATATGAATATATGTACAAAGATATACATGTCTATGTGTGTATGAATTGAAAGTAACAAGAAAGAATATATTTCACAATGCATAAATGTATAGTACCTCATGCTCAAACGAATCATAGGATTCAGTGTCACTGCCATCTTCAGCCTCTGACAGTCGATAATCATCGTCATTTTCCTCAATTGGTATTTGTTTTTCCTTCCTTAATTTCTTATGTTGAACCGCAGCCTTCAAACAGGTTGTTATATTCTTCACTCCTAGAGCATTCATTCTCTCATGATTGTTATTAATTGTCTTCATTCTTTGTTTCTCATAGTTCATTACCTTCTTAGTTGCGGTACTTGGTTTGGTCAACTAAGAAGGTAATGAACTATGAGAAACAAAGAATGAAGACAATTAATAACAATCATGAGAGAATGAATGCTCTAGGAGTGAAGAATATAACAACCTGTTTGAAGGCTGCGGTTCAACATAAGAAATTAAGGAAGGAAAAACAAATACCAATTGAGGAAAATGATGATGATTATCGACTGTCAGAGGCTGAAGATGGCAGGGACACTGAATCCTATGATTCGTTTGAGCATGAGGTACTATACATTTATGCATTGTGAAATATATTTTGTCTTGTTACTTTCAATTCATACACACATAGATATGTATATCTTTGTACATATATTCATATTTTATTATGTTATTCAGCTGTTAGAGATACCATTGAGAGCCCGGGGAGGAGTATGCAAGAAACCACTCACCGAAGGATGTTGATCCTACCAAGTGGATAGATCTTATTGATAAAAAGTGGAACACTAAAGAATTTTTGATAACATTTTCATCTTTTTTATTATATCAGCGAAGAAAGAATTTGATTAGAATAGGGAGAGATTTCAAAAAAACTAGAAAGAACACAATCAATTTGCTGTGAAATTCCATGTGTGTTCTTTTTCCCTTATCCTCTAGGCATGTAAGTAAAACATAATAAAAACTAAATAAGTGGCAAAATGAGAAAGGGAAACTATTAAACATGGATTGGAAGGCTCACATAATAGGAGATTAATTTATGGTTCCTTATAGTGCATCTTTCACATCATAGAATAAAGAACTAAGATTTCAGTTTCTATGATTGTATTTTCTGTTTGTTCTTGAGTTTGGTCTGAAGTTTCATGATAATGGTAAGCAACTAGCTGAGTAACTAATACAGGGTATTAAGATAGAACTTTAGATTTGATATAGTTGTGGAAGAAAGAAAGGGATATGAGTTTGGTATCAGTAATTGTTCCATATCTTGTGAAATGTAAATGGATTTTTTCACAATCTATCCTGCCCATGCTTATATGTCCCCTATTTGTGAACGGTGTGAATTACTCGTTTTTCTTTTTTCACCTAGAAAAACCATCTTATGATGAAATCTCAACTAGTCCTCTAATCTATTTTTCAAAGAATTGAATGAAACTACTGAATAATTTGAAACATCTTTTAAGTTGAAATGATATATAGGAAAAGGATAGATATGAACAATGCAATTCTTTATTATCAAGCATTAAATTTGTTTTATTAGTGATATATTTCATTGTTATATTTGTTCATTCTTCCTTACAGGAACAATCAAAAGCCAACATATTTGTCTTACTAATGTTACATTTCATTATTATATTGGTCATTCTTTCTTATAGGAGCAATCAAAGGGTAACATCGCGAACAGAGAAATAATGTATACAAAACACAGATGTGGTTCTAGGTCAATCCCTGTTAGAGTAGAAAAACCGGTACGTATCCTTGCACTTTAAGAATTAAATGGACCAATATAAGTTGTATGAACTTACGGCACATTAATGGGATGCACCATTTGTGAATTAGCCTTAAAATTAATTTTTTGTTCTCATAATCTCGAAAAAAAAGTCTGTTAGAGGGGTAAATTGTATAATTGATCTAATTGTAGATTGATGAGTTATTAATGTTTTTAATCTTTTGTATAATTAATTAATTACTAAAGCTTTTAATTTATTTTTTTGCAGATTGGATTGGGGTGGCATTTTTGACGTGCAACAATGATGTAATTTGCTTGAATGTTCATTTTTGTTTGATAAGGATACACATACTTTGTGGAGTTGCACTAGTTATTGTTGGATTTTTGGTAAAATTGAACAAGTTATAACTTTTGGATATTTTGTGGATATTTCACTATTTTATTGTATTAGGATGAAATTATTTGTGATGATGAATGGATATTTTCATTTTGTTAATTCGTAAATATGTTGATAACATGTTAGGTTAAGTTGTGATGGAATTGTTATATTCAACAAGTTTCAACATGAACAGGGTTATATTTGTTGAACTAAAATTTAGATTTTGATAAAATAGGTATATAATTATGGAAAAAAATATTATGAAATTATTGACAAAATTTTCCATCCCTAAAGAAGGTTCTTTTGTCTCTTATTTCGCTTAGGTGGATGATTAATTTTGTCATGAATTTTTTATTTCGTCACCAAATGCATTTGTCGTGACAAAAAATATTGTCACATTTTGTCACTATTATTCTCAATGTGTGACGAATTTTTTTTGACATTATTTCATCATTTTTAATGATGAATTTGTTTTTGTTTCTATTGGTAGCTTCTTTGATAAAAAAATTTCGTCTTTGTTTATATTAAACGTGACAAAATTATTGTCTCCATTTCTTATATTTATGACAAAATAATTGTCTCTAATTTCTCCTTTAATGACAAAATATTTTGTCGCTAATTACTTACAAGTATGTTCCCAACAAAGCGTATTCGAGACAAAAAAATTCGTCACAAATTTATCATTTTCAATGACGAAATTGTTTTTTCGTCTCTAAGACCCTTTAGCGACGAGGCTTTGGCGACAAAACGGGTGACGAAAAATTTTCGTCGTAGTTAGTTTGGGTGACGAAATATATACATTTTGGGACAAATTTGTTTCGTCTTTAAATCCCAAATATCCTTGCGAAATTGCTCTGTAGGCCAATGATTTTCCTCCATGGTGGCTTCTGCATACGCCTTCGTGTATCTCGAACGAGAATGCCTCGACCTTACTAGGATGGACACATTTCAGGTAGGGTCCTGTGAAGGATTTCTTGTACAAGGCCATTAATGGGGAGAGCCAAAATCGCTGTGACTTTGCTCTTATTTTGTTGGCCTCTTTCTTTTCTTCTGGTAAAATGCTGTCCTTTAAGAACACTATAATGAGATCCATCCATGAAAGGCCTAGTTCTGTACAATATACATCTACTACTTCGGGTTCTTCAATGCTTGGTCTTGGTAGGAAGTCGATCAATAATGGATGTGGGATGGATGTGTCTGCCATCTAAGCGAAGCCTGCTAGTTTGTCTGCTCTGCTGTTTTCTTCTCGGCTAATCTGCTCTATCCGCACTACTACAAACTTCATGATCTCTTTTCTGACTAACTCTTGGTATTTAGCCATCATTTCGTCCTTTGCCTCGTAGTCGTCTGAAATTTGATTTACCACCAGCTGTGAGTCACTATAAACCATTAGCTCGGTGACCTTCATGTAGAGTGCTGATTTTAGGCCTGCGAAGAGCGCTTCAAACTCCGCATCGTTGTTTGATGCTGGGAATCCTAGGTTGATTGCTTGTTCCACAATTAAGCCATCCGGTGAGATGAGGACTATGTCAAGTCCTGCACCGTGCCTGTTGGATGCTCCATCCACGAAGAGCTTCCACATTTCTCCTACGAATAGCTTCCAGCAAGTGGAGGGGTCGGATGATGACTTGGGGTCGTGAGTATTGCTGATGTCTTCTTCAACTTCCACATCTACTGTTTTCCCCTTACTATCTGACTGTACCAAGTTTTTACTTGTTGATGAGTCTTTGCTTGGTGTAGCATGGTTTACCTCTTCTGCACTTTCCTCAATCCGATATGCCTTGGGATGTGGCTGAGTATTCTGTATTAGGGGTTGCGCATTTCCTGCAGCACTTTTCGTCCCCATTTCGATTGTACCAGTCAAGTCAATAAGGCATATGTGATGACTTCCTGGTGTGAACTCTGCCACAAAGTCTGCCAAAACTTGGGCTTTTATTGCAGTTCTGGGCTGAAACTTGATATCGAACTGTCCCAATTCCACCGCCCACTTCAAGATTCGCCCAGAAAAGTTTGCCCTTTAAAGCAAAGCTTTTAACGGAAAAGTTGTTAAGATGATTATGGTGTGGGCGTGGAAATAATGCGATAGCTTCCTTGAGGCCATCATCAAAGCTAAGGCCAATTTTTTCAATGGTAAGTACCTGGTTTCTGCGCCCAGTAAGGTTTTACTTATGTAAAAGATGGGCAGGTGTTAGATTCCTTTCGCTCTGACCAACACTGCGCTGACTGCGGGCTGTGAAACTGCTAGGCACAAAAAGAGCTCTTCTCCAAGTATTGAGGTTACTAGTAAAGGTGGAGAAGACATGTACTCTTTCAAGCTTTCTAGAGCGCGGTCACATTCTTCATCCCACTCAAACTTGGCCTTTAATGCTTGGAAGAATGGTCGACATCTGTCTGACGACCGACTTATGAATCGGTTGAGCGCAGCTGCTAGGCCAGTGAGATGTTGCACTTCTTTTACTGTGTTGGGCCTCTCAAGATCCTAGATTGCTTTGATCTGAGAGGGGTCTGCCTCTATGTAACAAGCCCGCGGGGGACCTCGCTACAGCTCGGACTCGATTTGTAGTCACGGTTCTAAATCTGAACCAAAGAGTCCAAATCCGGCAAATCGTTTTGAGAAAACTGATTTTTGAAAGAAGTGTCAAACATGGACTGCTTCGCCAGATACAGAGTCGCCACCTAAATATTTTTTTTAAAATGGAAAATTTAGGAAACCCTGACTCGGTGCCAAAGGCCACGTGTCCGTCATCACCAAAGTTGCCTCGGCTTGGGAACTTGGGTACGATTGGGGAAGGTCACTTCGTGAGCACCCCCGCTCGCCCGATCAAAGATCGGCCTCTACTAACCATGATATCTATTTTTGAAAACTTTGTATGTCCTTATTCCGGTTATTTAGGCTAGGTTACTATGTGATGCACACAGCATATAAGTATAGACTGGGTCGCCCGAATTGGAACAAAACATTTCATGTTTGTTTATTTGAAAGATGGTTTGCTACTCACAAGTAGGCTTAAAATGCAGTTTTTGCCACCCGCAGGTGGGCTTAGAAAACAATGGTTTTGCCACTATCTAGTGGGCTTAAAAAAAAAAAAAACTCATAGTCAACGAATTGTTCCAATCCAAATAACCCAACCTTCACCCACAGGCATTCAGGCAGTTATATCAGATTGCAAGGTGGAAACATGGTAAGCATGCTACCATGTTAACATTCACACTCACGCGAGATGCTAAAGCATATATACTCACATCATACTTCGTGCCAAAACAGTGAACTAGTTAGTAATCATATGCATGATCCTAGTTCATGTTAAGATGGCTAATGCAACCCATGCAAGATGCAGCTACAATAGGCTCGGCTAATCTATGGATGGCATATGATAATGCTACAACTAGCATGTATTCAACTTGAAATTGAAATACAATGCAGTTAGTATGATGCGCCGAGCCCGGTGCATGCAAAACAGATGAATGAATGCAAACATGCTATCATAAGTATGCTAATC